CGTAACATAGATTTTTGTATTTTAGATGGTTTTCTTGTATGTCGATAGGGACAATCTATATTACGACATGTATGTGGCCAATTGGAACATTCTTCTAGTTGCTTCACAGCTGTTTGACAATGACGATAACGACATTTCTTTTTGAACATACAATTTCCATTTGTAAAATAGATACAATCTGTAAGTGGAAGTAAAGTTGAATGTTCACCATCAGTAGTAACCATGTTATTGAATGAAGATGTGAACAAAAAAATCACAAAAAGAATAAAAATATATATGTAAGATATTGTATTATGATTATGAAACTTTTTCTGAATTGAAAAAGTGCAGCATCTAATTTATAGAAGAGTTTATAACATACATTGTATACGTAAAATGAAACCAATGGGAATATTTTCTTTATGTTGACAGACTACACTTGAATTATTTTTTTCCCCTTCTGATCGGGTTTTTCTTTCTGCTGGTTGTTTTATTCTTGCGTGTTGTTGTGTTTCATTTATGCGTCATGCGTTATAACTATGCTGCAGTTGTTGCCACAGCAAACGTGACGTTTAGTTTGAAGTCAGAGAAATGAATACAAGCAGCTGAAAGTAGTGTTGAAAGAGAGGAAGAAAAAAAAAGAGTGGAGATTTGCTTTGTCTATGTGAAAAGTAAAAGAACAAGAACATGTCAAATTGTCTTGAAAATAAAGGACAATGTTGTTTTTGTATTCAAATAACAGAATGATGATGAAATTTTTGAAAAAACAGATACAGCCAATCTCTGAATTATAGACTGAATATGATTTTTGAATGTTGATTATTATTCATTAAAATTTCTTAGATTTCTATATTACTAAAGACTATAAATATATAAATAATAAACTAGAATAGTGGTGACACCTTTTATATTTACTTTATTGAGTAAAGATAAAACGTCATCCCCTAACTGGAGGAGAGAGTTGAATGAAATTTCGAAACGCCATGTATTCAAATACAAAATGAAAGATTTTACTATTATTGTGCCATAATTTGAAATAAATTCATTAAAGATGATAAATCTTAGTTCAAAATAATTTGTTCATTAGTTTTCAAAATTTTTCATATGACGAGAGATGTACATAGTAATATACTTCTAATCATAATGTCTGAGTCACATTCAGAATGTGTACTTATTGAAGTGTCAATCATATTTTTTATTTTTATAGCAGTGGTATGTACGACACAACAGAAGTAAGAGAATTAGTCATCCATTCAGCTGACGTGTCTATCGACACGTCAGTTGATTTCACTTGTTTCTCTATAAATACAGATTGATATAAGAAAACTTTTTAGTCTTTTTTTCGATCCATCGATAATGTAAGTAAAAGACTAATGAATTTTTTTGAATCAACATTGTTTTGATATATTCTATAAGCTCAACAAAAAATGGTCTTTGCATACATTCTTAAAACCGAGAGATGATTATAAAAATTTTTATACATTGCATGCATGTTAAGTTGCTCGAGATACTCTGAAAAAATCAACACTAGAGAATTTTGCTTAGAGGAGTTGGCAGTAAAAACCTAGCGTTTGCAACCTGACGAAGTATAAATCTATAAAAAAAAGAACAATGCTCTTATAACCGAGTGAAAAATTCGAAACCAATTCCAAACTGTACCAATCCTGCTTCATAACCTTTAGATGATAGTAAGAGAAAAAGATTTTGTTTTGGTGGACTTGATAGGATCTGTAGAATAGCGAATATGAAGAGAAAGTTTTTTCGAGTTCAATCTTACTGAAGATTCCATAAACGGTGCAGTTAATACCATAGAGTTTGCCATAAAGTTTTTCGCCCGAAATGGTCCATCTATATCTTTTGAGAAATAAAACAAAAAATGACATTTTCGACATAATAGTAGAAATTATTATATATATATATATATGTATATTTCGAATTATTTGTAAATTAGAACAGAAAGATATTCGATTCATATGGGTCGGCGTAAACGTAAGTCTACAAATAAACATTCAATATGTAGTGTATGTCAAGTCTCTTATTCGCCTTCATCTTCTTTAATTCCTCGTTGCTCTTCATGTACTTCTATGGTTCGAAATACCATTTGTGATTCATGTCTTCATAGCTACATCTTTACTTCTTTTTCACAAGATAGTGCAAAACGGATTATTTGTCCCGAAAACGGATGTCATACTGAACTAAACAAAACTACTCTTCATGCAGCACTTGTTAAATTTGGTCATCAAGATTTATGGGAAGATTATGTATTGAAATCGAATTGGTCTGGAACAAGTCAACAATGGATGCAACAATTTGCTGTAAGATGTCCTGGTTGTCGAATACCTATTGAAAAAAATGGTGGTTGTGATCATATGATATGTAGACAGTGTCATTTACATTTTAGTTGGTTTCGAGCAAAAATTTTGAATCAAAATAGAATTTACTACTGGTGGGAGAATAATGCATCTCAAATAGCAATGATCTGCTATATATTATTAATTATTGTGATTTTATATTTCTTGATAATTTTCTTTTTCTTCCATAGTAAGATTAATGTCAACGGTAGATAATTTATTAATGTATTTGAATGTTTTTCTTTTTTTCTATCAAATTGTTCTATTTGAAAAATAAAATTTATTACAATAAGTTTGTAATTTTCTTATAACTTCATTAAATTAAGTTTAAATTTACTATATTTTGAAGAATATACGAGTTTTTGTGACAATCAAGGACGTGACTGTGAGAATGGGTCCTCTCTTCATTCACACCCATTCAAAATAACATGTGCATAGAGTCACCATTTATTAGAAACATAACTTTTTTTCAATATTTCTACGACACACCGCTTGAATGATTAGAAGCTTATTGAAAATTTCTTTTTTTTTTTGCATACGAAAACAAAGTTTGTAATCATTTGACTTTTAAATTAATTAGTTCTAAAAATTTTCTCTATGTAAGTTCATATAGTTTGTTTTAATATCATCTTATTCTTATAGATAATAAACTGAAAATTATCTATGAAACACTTCACAGGTATTTTTCGTACTTGATAATAGATAAAATTGTTTACCAATAATAGTATTTATTTATCTTATGCGTATGACAAAAATAAAACTCTTCTACTAAGAAGCATAAAATCAACAGATGCAAAGATATTTCATTTATAGTACATCATGTATGATTGTCTACAATAATTATTTTATACTCAAACGATTTCTATTTTCATCATGAAATTTTTTGTTTTTAACTTTTTCCATTTTTGTAAAACCGTGTCCTTTATGTGTGTAGATGTATATTATGATACTATATCTATGTTCTTCGTTGTTGTCATTTTATGGTGTACACATCAGTTATAATTATATATATAAACTACTGATCATGTTGAATGATACAGTATAATTAGAAAAGAAAAAGAAAAAGTATATTCATTTTTAATTATTTTTCACTTTTACTCTCTCTCATTATCATGCATCGTTGATTTCTCTTTTATATATTAATTGATAAATATTCAACTATAACAAATATTCATCTTTTTTTTGTTTTATTCTAACATTTGCATTAGTACTCAATAAAATGTAAGAAGAAATTCTGGTTTTTTTTTTTGATAAATATAAATTCTAAAATATTGAAATTATTCTTAGGAATCCATATGCTACAAATCCGTTTGGTGGTAATCCTACATTTTCATATCCAGGTTCTTTTCCTCAACAAGGTTTTGGACAATTTGGTACTACTGGAGGATATTTTACTGGTGGTTATCCTTATTCGGGAGGAAATTTTTTTTCAAGTGGTCAACCATTGTCTTCTCCTCCTGCATCTGGTTTTCCTGCACAAGCTATAGGCGCTCAATTTGGACAAGGTTTTACTTTTCCTCAAGTACCTAGTGGCTTTGGTTATCCACCATCTTCGTTTATGCCACAAGCACAACCATCTCCATATGGTGCTCCTTTTCCTCAAGAACAACCATCTTCATTTGGTGCTCCTTTTCCTCAAGAACAATTTTCTTATGGTAATCCAAATTATTTTGGTAGTGGTTCTTATGGTCGACCTCGATCTCGTCATTCATCACATCGTCGTCGATCTCGACCACGTCATCGACGTAGTTCATCATCATCATCAAGCAGTAGTGATGAACATCGAAGAAGAGGTTCACCTTTTGGTCATCCTGGCAATTATTATGGTAATATACCACCACGAGGTGGTTCACCTAGTATTCCTCCTCGTCCACCTGGTTGGTAATTTTATTTCATTGTGTATGTGTGTGTGTGTGCGTGTTTTTTTTATTCTCTCATGACATAGGCAGTCCAGTGAATCTACCTACAAATAAAGGCACTTTGATATTAATATCGCGTAAATAAAATAGAAAAGGTCGTGAAAATGTTAATTCTATTGGATCTTCATGTAAAAACATTCCTGAACGAGATAACATTTGTATAATAGTAACAGCAGCTGCTTCTGTACCACTTTCATCAACATCAATAACAGATTTATGTAGAATTTTTGATATAAATAAATCACGTTCACGTGTTGAACTCATTAAACTAAAATCAGCTTTATCACCATCAAAAGGTAATTTAACATTATAATATTGTTTAAAATATTGAACAAAATCTAATGTTGATTCAATACGAAATTTTGGTAATGATAATTTTATACGTGTTAATGAACGTGTACGATTATCAAGTAATGAAAAAATATTTAATAAAATTTTTGAATTACGTAAAAGTTTTTCTAATACACGTAATTCAATATCATTATCAGGTAAAACAAGTGTTAATACATAACGATTATTTCCTTTATACGGTAAATTAATCCATTGTGATTTATGTTTTTTATCATAATAATATGAAAAATGTGATGTTAAATGCATTGTTTGTAATTGAATTAATTTACCTGTACTTAATGTAAAATTTTCTTTTGTTGTTAATTCACTATCAAATGTTTTAAACCATGGTGCTTTAAAATATAATGCATTAATAAGCATAATACGTGTTAATGGATGAATATCATTAGTTTTTAAAATATTTTTTATTATATTATTTGTTTGATTTGATATCCATTTATTAATATGACCAACACATTTTTCTTTTTGACTAAAATCAATTAATTCTAATTGACTATGATAATATTTTTCTAAAATTTTATTAAATTCATTATCTAAATCAAATTCATCATCAACATATAAACGATTAGCAATATTTAATGATATATTTAATTGACGATTATCTTGTAAATTTTTTTTTACATCATTTAAAAAACTTGTTGACCATTCACGATAAGCTTGTTTAGTTTTTAAATGTGTTATATGTTCAAATTCTTTAAATGTATTACCATTAGCACCTTCACCAACCATTAACATTGCTTGATAAAGACTTAATGGTGACCAAACTAAATTACGACGACCAACAATATTCGATGATGAATGATGACGAGTAAATCCAAGTGTAAAATCAAAAATTGATTTTGAAAGATCATTTTCAATAGTTTTTGAATCAACTGTATTAATGATATACAGTAAAGTTACAAAAAGAAATATTTGATATAGAAGACTATCAATACAACGCATGTTTAAATGTAAAGTAGAGTGAATGTTGGCGATAACACATTAATACGTGTGCATTTTTCTCTCGCTCGCATTTTACATGTTGACTTAGGACGAGAGATCAAGTATACGTCGTTCTTTAGTGTCTTTTTTTTTTCTTCGCTATTTCATTCTCCTACTTTATTTACTTCAATCCATTAATCGTAGGATAAAACAAAAAGAGCAAAACGTGTTTTGTATCCAATTATATGAATTGAATTTGAAAAAGATAGTCATGTTCTTATCTATCTATATTAAGTTATAATAATCATTTACTTATCTATGAATCATACTTTATTTCTCATATGTATCAGATAAATTATTCATCTTTTTTTTTTTTTTTTTTGGTATTATTTGATAGAATAATATCTAATTGTTGTAAGAACCAAGCATATAACATATTTGATTCTATATAAATTATTTCATTTCGAATAATAGGATTATTTTAAGAAACAAATTGTTATAAAAAATTTTTTAAGTATGTGATGTTAGACAAGGTTTTATTATTTTTTTTTCAAGGAATTTATTTTATACTTCGAGTAAAATGACATTATCGAATAAATATCACATTGCAATAAAATTTTATTCAACGATAAGTGTACTTGAATATATTACTGTTTTTTTTTTCTAATAATATCAAATGAATTGGATGTCACCTACAAAATACTTTTGCTTAATAAAGTGTTAATATGTACATTCGAAAAAAAAAAGCATTGCAGTAATCTATATATTTCTTTTGATGTATCAATAAATTTAACTATTTTAAAAAAACTCATTCATTATATCTTCAATGTCATGCTAGGAAGTAATCTAAATGCTTATTATTATTATTATTATTATTCAAGGAAAATTTTTTTGTATAATTTAATCTTTAAGAAAGAAAAGTACAAATTCAAATATTTAATAAAGATTTGTTGATGTTTTTGGATTTTTTTAAAAATAATCATAACTAAGAATATAACATTAATACTACGAAATCTATATCATAATCATTCTATATTACTTTCTAATACATTAGTTTTATACAAAATTATAATGTATAAATAATAGATGCATCTTATTTCATGTTTTTTTTTCATGCATCATTTGTCTAACAATACATTAAAATAAATGATATGAATTATATTATCATATAATTATATCTATTATTCGTGCATTATAACTCATAAATGATTCGTATTAGATTTAATGATAAAATAGATGGGATATTTATTGTTAAAAAAAAAGGAAAATTGATAGTGCAATTCCTGTGGGATTAAAATATAAAATATGATATAATTGCTGTAGCTAATTACAAAGAAATTGTTTTATTGTATCTATTTTGGAACACATTTCTTCACCATCATTTTACTTAATCTTTCAGAGATACAATAAGAATGTGTAGTTCATGTATTCTAATGAGATGCTATTGATATACAGTCTTTGATTGTATATGGACAAA